GCTATGGGTGCCATACCAATCGATATAGAAATCACCTGGTATGTATAAGACCTTTGCATCTTCGTTTGACTTCAAGCACTTTATACAATCATACGATTTCTGACATTGTGCATGAACGGCGTCTGTTTCTTCTTCGTCCTTATTAAATGCCACGATTGTGTCTGTTATATTTAACCGGTCATCTCTAAACTCCCCACCTGCAAGGATAAGAACAAACATAGCATTGGTAATCGTTGTGGTGATGTGTCTATTCTTGTGCATAGAGCTCAAGTTACTATTCAGTTGAAGTTGAGCAACGATGAGCGGGGAAGACCACTGGATGGGTGGGAGCGCCTTATGCAGCCACTGGATGGGTGAGCGTCTTATGCAGCTTGATTCCTCGGAGTGCCTAGGACTTCAGTCCTGGTAATATTGATAACGTTTTGAGCAAACCCAGATATTCTTCCTGGAATGACGCTTTAAAAGTGGACTATTACTATCATTGTATTTTTCTCATTCTGTTAACAGTCAGTGGTTTGCTTTGACCAATGTATAATCAGTATAATATTCCTGTCAATTATTTATGATATAATAGTTTCGTATAGAAGAAAAAAGGGAGATTTGTAAAAAGTGTATTTGGCTTGAAATGTTTCCATGTTTGTATCTGCCCAGTTTGCTTTCTCAAAGTTGGCAGTCATATACTTTATGTGAATTGTGCATATATAGTTAGCTGCCTGTTAATAATAGCTTAAAGTAGTTCTTTTTATAAGAATTGATAATGCTCAAAAGGACAACTCGTGTTTATTTTCCTTGCATGATGCTTTCCAGACAACCTGCCACTGTGAGATCTATTTTGAAACCCTTCAGGTGGAAAACTAATACATATCTTGTTCTTCTATTGATCGAAATAAATAAAAAATAAACACATTAAGTATGGAAGTGATAGACATAGATGGTATACCTTGTAAAATCCAAATGAGCTGCCATTGATTTGAAGTTGAAGACAGTATAATCAGGTTCTTCTTTCTTTGCATAGCGAATCTCTCCTTTTCGAAGCTGAAGGTAATGTTTACGTTAGGAAACTCTTGCTTAAAATCCCTCCTCGTACTGACAACGATCTGTTCCATCTTTGATATTGCTTGACTCCTCATCCGAAAACAAACATCAGTATTTGAACCCCATTCTGTATATAGTTGCTTAACTGTTTTCGCAAACGCTACAGCACCACGAAGAGCATAATGGGTATACAAGTTCAGTTTCGTATGCCCACGAATATATTCGCTTGCATTATTGAGACAGGCGGTAGCATTGACCATGCTGTCCTTAAATTGGCATCCAGTAATTTTCTGCAGGTAACCATGAAACCAATCATTATTCCTGATGTGTTTCGTTATCAGTTTTATATTCTTGTGTAGATCAGCCCAGAACTGACTGAACGATTCCACATCGTAATAATCTGGACTCTGGAGTCAAGAGACCTTTAGTTCTGGGGATGATTTGCCCATCCTTTGCATAGTCTTGTACATACATTTTGTCAACGGCTAATGATTCTGAAACAATCATTTGAAAATTTGTGAGTTCCAAGTGTTTATCAAGGTACACAAACATGTCCTTTTGCTGTTTCAGCTCGACCAAAGAAGACCAATCCTAACACAGGACTTTCTTCGTCTTTCTGACGTTGGGTTAGGTTACTGAATACAACCTCTTGTTGACTTTTAGTTTGACCCAGGTCCAAAGAGAGGAACACAGGGATGCAGATATCCTCAGCTTCTGCAGATACTCGGAGGGCATAGGGCTGCATCCCGACCGTAGGTATCGGAGTCGAACACGATGCTTACGTAGTTCCAGTTCAGAGCTTGCATGAGCTTCAGGGTGACCTATGGGACAACATAAAAGCCACTTCTAATTAATGAAATTTTCATAAAGGACTCTTTTGTAATTTTTTAATACACCATTATTAAACAAAACGACTTGATTACAAGGATTTTTGTGTCATAGGATCATGTCACTCACTCACTCACTCACTCTCACTCACTCCACTCACTCTCTCACTCACTCACTCACTCACTCACTCACTCACTCACTCACTCACTCACAACCAACCAACCAGCCAGCCAGCCCACTCACTCACTCACTCACAACCAACCAACCAGCCCACTCGGTACACTCACCTCCACTTGTACATCATCCGTTGCTATGACCCGGTACAGGTTTTTGTAGATACTCTTGTCAGAGAGGAAGGCGGCCGTGGCGGAGTAGCTGATCTGCAGCAGACGATCCTCTTCCGGGAGGAACTCAGCAGACGAGACACTTCCTTGGTTTCTGAACTGTACTCTGGTCCTAGTATTCCTATAAAGACCAATCACATGATAATGTATCACATACTCGTTATACTCTTTCTGCTTCACTCAAGCGATACCTTGCTAACTTACCCAACAGTTGCGGCCTTTGTCTATCCATGTATTTGGTCATCATGTCCAAGGTTTGTCTGCTTGCTCGTGGGGCGTTCCCACAAGTTTTGAAAGCATGAAAACCTGAAATGTTGATCAAAAGGAGTCACGCTTTAAAATATGTTTTTATGATACTAAAATCATAATCGTTAAAAGGAAATATTGATGTCAGAATCCTATATTTTCTGCCCATGTGCGTCAAGGCTCGCTGACTTAGTTGACACATGTTATCATATCCGAACTGTGAAGATCGATGCTCATATTGATCACTGGATTGTCTGGTTTGCTTTGAGTCCCTTTAAAATGTACACCACATTATGTTGTTGAGCAATTTTCAATGACTGCATCCTTTTTACGGCTTTGACTTTTGTGTTCCGTATACACAAGTAATAGAGCGTGTTCGCATTGACAACTTTGATCTATCCGTCATGGTACATCCAGTCAGTCTTCTTTCCCACGAGGAGAGGCTCGTCACATTTCACCGCAACTTCTTGTTTTCATTAATATATCTAACAACCAGCCTACCATGTGTGACAAAATGTTATCTTCTCACTTATACAAATCTTAAATGTGTCCTTGATGTTGTCCGAGAGCATAATTGATCTTGTTTGAGTTTAATCGGACAGTGGAAGGCCAAAACTTTACGGTGAATGGTAAGTCGAAAGCAGGTTCATGGTAGAGTTTCATGATAACCTTGCAGAGTCCACGAGACAGTTGGTCGAGTTACTCGTTTAATGACGCGATGGGCGTTGCCAACGTCCTCGGCGAGCTGTGCAGTGTGTTCACATTAAAGTTCATGATGAAAAATAGGATATTATGGATTAATGAATTTTAAATGAAAGCTATATATAGAGTAAACTGTATGTATGTATGTATGTATGTATGTATGTATGTATGTATGTATGTATGTATGTATGTATGTATGTATGTATGTATGTATGTATGTATGTATGTATGTATGTATGTAATGTATGCATGTATGTATGCATGCATGCATGCATGCATGTATGTAACCTGAACATTCACAATCATGAATCAGAAACATTTTTTTCATATCCTACAGTTCGTTATGTACGTACTTACTGTAGTTTCAAATTGTAAAGGTTTTAAAGCAGGCTCGTATTAACACAGGGGTCGCTGAATGCGTTTTCATCAAGTTGTTTCGAACAACAAATTTTAACATAAAGAAATTTGCTACGACACCAAAGTTAGAATCAATTTACAGTGGAAGCCCTCCAAACCGGCATCCCTCAATCCGGCATGCTCCCAATATCGGCACTAGAATTTGGTCCCGGTAGAAGCTAGTTAATTTATGATTATTTACGCCCTCTAAACCGGCGTCAGTCTATTCCGTATTTCGGCACAATGAAGACCGTCCAAGTGACTGTTTGTACGGTAATTAACGCTCCACAAAACCGGCATCCGCTATCTAAACAAAACAATGGAAATATGCCTCGAAATATGTGCCAGTTAAAGCGTTCATGATATAACCCTGTACATTTTGGGTACAAGTCAAATGCCACCCCAAGCAAAAGGAAACAAAAACTACAAGTGTATGTATTTATCAATCAAATCAAATCAAATCAAATCAAATTAGACATTTGTATAGCGCTACATATCCAGAGTCCTGCTCATGTGCGCTTAGTCGAATCGTTTGAAGAGGATGGTTTTGAGACAAGATCGGAAACTGTTGATATTTTCCGATTTTCTGACATTTTCAGGTAATCCATTCCAGAGTACAGCACCCGCTCTGCTAAATGCTTTGTCCGCGTATGTTGTGGTTCGGACAGATGTACTTACCCTTGAGGAAATATTTTAGGGGACCGGGTACGATTTGTGCCCTGCGTATCTCATATTACGTAAATATCGCGGTTGTGTCGAACTCGGATAACTCATGTTTACGTTTGATAGTGTCAAAAGTTTGCTTTATGTTCAATGAATACTAGATTCCTTTCATTTATTGTTATTGTCTATTTAAAAAGCATCGCGATACATGGTTTACGTCAACACAGGGAATAGCATCAGACATAGTTATTTTGTCAATGTTACGTCAAAGCATCGGAAATTTCCGTACATCATACATGATTCAAATGTTATTCGGGATAAAGAATCACTACTACGAAAGTACCATATGAGTTCGGCATTCCCAGCGGGGTACATACATTGAAAATGATAGAAGAGCGCTCAGCCAATCCGAAAACGACATTTATGTGTGAGGCAGGATAAATATGCAAATCCATATTTAAACTAATCATTATCATACATCTGGGTACCGTTTCATAAAATATTCTTATGTTTCATAGTATAGACGTCGCAAAGATCGCTATAATCTTGTCTATTCTTGTTTGTGACACATAACACTAAAGGTCAAATGCACACGATACAGACTTAATGTTTCCCTCGAAAAGCTAGAAGATCTGCCTTATGTGCATAAACCAAGTGTACGATCTATTTTGTAGACTAAAGAAGTAGTCTCTTTCAGTGGGATTGTCATTGACACATTTTCCTGGAACTCGCAGAAAAAGTCAGGCGTTCAGTAGATCAGATTGCACAAGCACACACAAAACTAAATTATGATACAAGTACATGTTTATACAATTATAGGTAGACTTATATTTACATCACAAGTGATGAAAAAAGTACAAAATATAAGGTTATCGAAGAAAAATGAACCCAGTTACAGTCTAGAGCATCAATAACCATCAAACAAGAGAGGCTTTTGGGGTTTTCTACAATAATGTTTCATTTTTACAAACAAGCATATTGGTTGTTGGTAATAGTTTCCCCCTATAAATTTAGAATTCTCCATCTTAGGAAAAAATAATTTTGCAACCGAAAATGTTTTACAAATCGATCTTTAATTCATGCGGTACATTTTACTTTTACTCTTTCGCATACATTTTCATTATGTTCCGCATTTTCTAAGTATCTGTTTTGGCATGTTGTCAACAGGAAAGCATAATTCGGACAGGCATTATCTAGCTTATTATCTAGGTTCACTTTCATTTTCCCTCTTTAATTTATGACGTATGTGTTAAGAAGGACATCATTGCATATTTACCGAATCGTACACAATAGAATCGAATAAACAAACATAACTGAAAATGTAAGTAAACATAAATATACGAAGTACACCAACTTCGTACGATAACATTATAATTGTTTGTCTGCTGAATGAAATCTTGTTGTTGATTATATCTCTTCAGTTGACACAGAAGAAGATTTGATCATGGTGATGTCAGATAGCTAATAATGTGAGTAGTTATACAGTTCTACAAAGGTGCACTTGGGAATGTTGATTTGTTTCACTGAATGAAACTATCCCTCGGATATATGGTCGAATAGGGATCTGAAATAGATGTGAGAAATATAAAAACACAAAGCTATATATATTCTAAGATTATTCATGAATATTTATCGAGCATTAACAGGCCGCCGCCATATAGCTGGAATATTGCTGAGTGCGGCGTAAAACTAAACTCACTCACTCACTATCGAGCATTACCGATGTAAAATTAGGATGAGAGGACGGAAACGAAAAAAGACAAGGCTTCAAACATACGTTTGTAAAGAAGGGCTCTTGAAAATAGGGCCAGATTATAGAGGCCCATACTCAAAGTTGTAAAGCGAGAGTGGGGATGGCAAGTTTTCTCTTTCTTTCTGTTCTCCACACAAGTAAAGAGGTTAATAATGTAATATGATTTCCATATTTGTTTTGAATTGCAGTCAAAGTGAAATGACATCATCGTCTCCACCACAATTAACACATCAACCAATGATGGGAGCAATTAATACCTAAAAAGATTAAAGCATGTCACTGTCAATAGTACAGAGTCTGGTTTACTGCCTTTATCCACCACATTCGTCTGCCTATATGTTGATGGATATATCAAGGATGTTTCTGTTTTCACTAAATGATCTTGCAAAACCTGTACACTATAAACTGTGTGTGTGTGCGTGTGCGTGTGTGTGTGTGTGTGTGCGTGCGTGCGTGTGTGTGCGTGTGTGTTTAAACATGTTCCTATCCCCTAACCTTCGTGGGGAGGTGGGGTACATAGCCAAGTGGTTAAAGCGTTCGCTCGTCACGCCAAAGATCCAAGTTCGAAACCCTACATGGATACAATGTTTGAAGCACATTTCAGGTGTCCACCGCCATGATATTGCTGGAATATTTGCAAACGTGGGGTAAAACTTATGTAACTCACTCACTCATTACTTACCTTCTTTCTTCTGGGTCTTCCTCCTCCGCACTTGGCGGCAGAGATAACCTGACATCACCAAGACAACCAACCCGAGCACACTTGCACCAGAAACAAGCGAATAGAAAATGGTTGTTCTGTCGGAATTCGGTTGAGCACTGCAACATCGATATAACACAGTTTGCCGCATATATGTGATGTGTGTTGGGGTCTTACCACTGTAGTCAGTTGCCATGTATGTGAGTGAATACAGTTTTACAACGCACTCAGCACTATTCAATCTATGCAGTTGGGATACGATGACATGTGGCAACCAAGTCAGCGAGTCTGACCACCCGATCTCGTTAGTCGCCTCTTACAAGCATGGGTTACTGAAGATCAATTCTATCCCGGATCTTCACGGGTAGTGGCCACGTAAGCCGATAACTTACTAATTCATATTCAGTGTCATATAAAGAATTTTCCCATTGAACAATTTGTCAGTTGTATATGCATCGTATCTGTAGATCAATGTATAAGATCGGTTAGCCTCACAAAAACCTTCTTGAAAAGGTGAAATTGGTGACTGGAAAACTGTTTCAATGAAGAAAAGGATACCAAGATTCATGGTGTTGGAATCTTGTTACGTATTTTTTCTTTATTCATCTAAACATGGAGATATAATTTTCCTGATCACATATAATTCCCCGAATGTCAACTGCACAAACACAGCAGTTTTTTTTATAATTTAATAAGGGTCAATATTATAACTATTCTAAGCCCATGAAGATGCGAGCTAGAATTGGTCTTCCTTAACCCATGCTTGACGTAATTGGCGGTTCACGGGATCGTGTGGTCATGCTCGCTGACTGTTGGCACATGTCTTCGTGTCCCAATTGCGTCGATCAATGCTCATGCTGTTGATCACGGGATTGTCTGGTCAAGACTCGATTATTTACAGACCGCCGTCATGTAGATGGAATATTGCTATGTATATTTGTGCACGCCTTACATAGAATATTCATTATTTTAATTTATGGCTGAATTCGTCAATTCGTAACAGGTGGATGATGCAAAAGCAACTAGCGTCCAAACATGTTGTACAATAAGACCTCATTGACTCTAGTATGGTGATTTACTTTCAGTTGCTGGCGATATGTAGCTCGTATTTCTATTGTATTTGTATGCATAGTAATATCTTCTCCAGATGCACACTAGTTCGAAGAGTAAATCTGTTATAGTCTACTGATTCATATATTGACCTTTGTTGTTATTTATTTATTGCATTTATATACATCTAAGATGGCTTCTATTACCATATAGCTTCATAGTCATGATATGGCTGAAATACTACCGATGTGACGTGAATTATAACTCACTCACTCACTCAATTATCTTCTTCGAAAAAAGAATACTCACATTTTTTTGCTTTCAAACTGCTTCCTGCACTGTGCACATTCATATTCGTTTGGACAAGCCGAAGTAAAGTTTAAATATGTCATCAGTTGCTGTACAGGTCTTGACAAAATGATACCCTTATCTGATGAATGGCCAACCTTGAAAAAACAAATATTATTGTAAACTCAGTCACTGTAGCAAGGTCAGACAAGAATGATACATTAATCTGCCTGGTGTTGCACACCTCATTATTCCAACAAAATGAAACCAAAGCACAATAATTTCATAAGGAATGTAAGCATGTCCACTCAGTTTGCAAAACATCAACAATGTCATCTGTAGAAATATTACATACATACAACTGCAGTAGTTTTATCCTCGGGACCAGGATAACTTACTATTACTACGCTAAGACGTAACTTAATACTAATTTAGCACAAAGTGATACCCGTGAAGGTAAAGGTTCGAATTGGTCTTCAGCAACCCATGCTTGTCGTAAGAGGCGATTTGCGGGATAGGGTGGTCCTGCTAGCTGACTTGGTTGACACAATGTCATGTCATCCCAATTGCGTAGATCAGTGTTCTTATTGAACACTTGATTTTCCGCCAAATAGTTGGGACATTGCTGAGTACAGCGTTAGAACAACAAACAAACAAACCAAATCACTAAGTGATCGAGAAGGCAATATATGTAGGATTGACGATGCTTTGACAGTTTCTCGGTTAAATCATGGCAGGCAAACTTGGTGGCACTAAGGAAGTGAGCAAAATCAAAGCAGGAAGTAAAACCTGTAGTAGACTTACATCTTTACTTAGAATAATTATAGAAGTTGTATTTGAAAATCGTCGGTGGCAAAGTGAACTAGAGAAACCCCACAGGTGTAAAAGGGACCGAATTCTAACCAGCAAATTTTGGCTGCTAAGACGACAGAGGAACACATGCCCATGTCTCTGAGGAGACAACGGCATAAGAAGACGATTGTCTGAATAGCTTAGGATACAATCCGAGCTTTAAAAAACGTTCACATGACATACCTACCTCTTTATACAAAAGACTTTTGTTCCGGACAATCTGGGAAATAGTGTACCCCACGTTTCCGTCACCATTGCTGTCAAAGACGTTGATGCTGTTACCATCCTGGTAAATATCCAGTTTTACTTCTTTCAGTTTAGCGATCATGGCTGGAGTGGAAATGTCTGTGCAGATTACAAGATCTTTACAGATTGATGTCACAGCATCGTGGAACCCATGGACAAGACTGTACACTGTGTAGATTGCAAATGTTACCCACAAATCAGGCTTGATACTGTCACCAAGCCTTGATGAGGGACATTTTTTGTCCATTCTTCTTTGAAAACTTTTAGGTACATAGCACTGTTTAATTTCTTCAAAGTACTCTTGCAGCCATGGGTTTTCGTAAGTTTGAATGTCTATATTTTTAAAGTATTCAGCAAAAGCGGTAATTTCAGGAAGCTTCTGAGCTATTGTTATAGAACCACGTAAGTTTGTTGTTAAAAGGTCTTCCATTTGAGCCCAGCTTTCTCCACCAATAAAGGAAAATTCTCTACTTTCCATATCTTTATCAAGGTTCTGCATGATCAAACGTGTAAGAAACGGCAATGCAAACACGACGACAACTTTGGCATATCTGTATCGTCTTAGCTTAGAAATGTAGCCTGTATGTTTACTTGGATCATCAGTGTTCTCAGCTTCAACGGTCTGTGCCACGCATATCTCCTCTTTCTGTGCAGCATCCAGAAGAGCTTCTTTTCCATCTATCCCATATTCCTCCTTCGAGAAGATAATCTGTATGTATTTCGAGGAAGTCCTTTTAGCTAACTGCATGATAACTTCAGCTTGCTTGGGGTCAGGTGAACTCGCTCTCATAAAATATGGATGATATCCTCTGTTGCTCAAGGTGGAAGCTGTGGCTGAGTAGGAGATCTGCAACGTCTTGGTTTGTGTCAATAATGTTGAAACAGGTACAGTTACGAAGCTGAAAGCAGGGCCAATATAACCAATTATCTTGTCCAAAATCTTTGAACTGTTAGAACTATGGTCAAGACGTAGGCTTCCATCATTCAAACTAATGATCTGCTCTTGTATCTTATATGGATTGGAACATGTATCCAGTACAACCAAGCCAATTGTCTTGTTGCCAAGAGTCCCACCAAATATGCCAGACTTGTTGTTTAAGGTGGATACAGCGAACTGCAATGCTATTGTTAGGTCAACACTTAGAGATATGGCTCGCACGCTTCCACACTTCAGAAAGGTACCACCCTTGTTGTGTATGGGTGCCATACCAATGATATAGAAATCACCTGGTATGTATAAGACCTTTGCATCTTCGTTTGACTTCAAGCACTTTATACAATCATACGATTTCTGACATTGTGCATGAACGGCGTCTGTTTCTTCTTCGTCCTTATTAAATGCCACGATTGTGTCTGTTATATTTAACCGGTCATCTCTAAACTCCCCCACCTGCAAGGATAAGAACAAACATAGCATTGGTAATCGTTGTGGTGATGTCTATTCTTGTGCATAGAGCTCAAGTTACTATTCAGTTGAAGTTGAGCAACGATGAGCGGGGAAGACCACTGGATGGGTGAGCGTCTTATGCAGCCACTGGATGGGTGAGCGTCTTATGCAGCTTGATTCCTCGGAGTGCCTAGGACTTCAGTCCTGGTAATATTGATAACGTTTTGAGCAAGATATTCATCCTGGAATGACGCTTTAAAAGTGGACTATTACTATCATTGTATTTTTCTCATTCTGTTAACAGTCAGTGGTTTGCTTGACCAATGTATAATCAGTATAATATTCCTGTCAATTATTTATGATATAATAGTTTCGTATAGAAGAAAAAATGGAGATTTGTAAAAAGTGTATTTATTGAAATGTTTCCATGTTTGTAATTGCCCAGTTTGCAGTCTCAAAGTTGGCAGTCATATACTTTATGTGAATTGTGCGTATATAGTTAGCTGCCTGTTAATAATAGCTTAAAGTAGTTCTTTTTATAAGAATTGATACTCAAATAGATAATGCTCAAAAGGACAACCCATGTTTGTTTTCCTTGCATGATGCTTTCCAGACAACCTGCCACTGTGAGATCTATTTTGAAACCTTCAGGTGGATAACTAATACATATCTTGTTCTTCTATTGATCGAAAGAAGTAAAGAAAAATAAACACACAAAGTATGGAAGTGATAGACATAGATGGTATACCTTGTAAAATCCAAATGAGCTGCCATTGGATTTGAAGTTGAAGACAGTATAATCAGGTTCTTCTTTCTTTGCATAGCGAATCTCTCCTTTTTCGAAGCTGAAGGTAATGTTTACGTTAGGAAACTCTTGCTTAAAATCCCCTCTCGTACTGACAACGATCTGTTCCATCTTTGATATTGCTTGACTCCTCAACGGAAAACAAACATCAGTATTTGAACCCCATTCTGTATATAGTTGCTTAACTGTTTTCGCAAACGCTGCAGCACCACGAAGAGCATAATGGGTATACAAGTTCAGTTTCGTATGCCCACGAATATATTCGCTTGCATTATTGAGACAGGCGGTAGCATTGACCATGCTGTCCTTAAATTGGCATCCAGTAATTTTCTGCAGGTAACCATGAAACCAATCATTATTCCTGATGTGTTTCGTTATCAGTGTTATATGCTTGTGTAGATCAGCCCAGAACTGACTGAACGATTCCACATCGTAATAATCTGGACTCTGAGTCAAGAGACCTTTAGTTCTGGGGATAATTTGCCCATCCTTTGCGTCTTGTACATACATTTTGTCAACGGCTAATGATTCTGAAACAATCATTTGAAAATTTGTGAGTTTCAAGTGTTTATCAAGGTACACAAACATGTCCTTTGCTGTTTCAGCTCGACCAAAGAAGACCAATCCTAACACAGGACTTTCTTCGTATTTCTGAAGACGTTGGGTTAGGTTACTGAATACAGCCTCTTGTTGACTTTTAGTTTGACCCAGGTCCAAAGAGAGGAACACAGGGATGCAGATATCCTCAGCTTCTGCAGATACTCGGAGGGCATAGGCTGCATCCCGACCGTAGGTATCGGAGTCGAACACGATGCTTACGTAGTTCCAGTTCAGAGCTTGCATGAGCTTCAGGGTGACCTATGGGACAACATAAAGCCACTTCTAATTAATGAAATTTTCATAAAGGACTCTTTTGTAATTTTTAATACACCATTATTAAACAAAACGACTTGATTACAAGGATTTTGTGTCATAGGATCATGTCACTCACTCACTCACTCACTCACTCACTCACTCACTCACAACCAACCAGCCAACCAACCAACCAGCCAGCCCACTCACTCACTCACTCACTCACTCACAACCAACCAACCAGCCCACTCGGTACACTCACCTCCACTTGTACATCATCCGTTTCTATGACCCGGTACAGGTTTTTGTAGATACTCTTGTCAGAGAGGAAGGCGGCCGTGGCGGAGTAGCTGATCTGCAGCAGACGATCCTCTTCCGGGAGGGAACTCAGCAGACGAGACACTTCCTTGGTTTCTGAACTGTACTCTGGTCCTAGTATTCCTATAAAGACCAATCACATGATAATGTATCACATACTCGTTATACTCTTTCTGCTTCACTCAAGCGATACCTTGCTAACTTACCCAACAGATGCGGCCTTTGTCTATCCATGTATTTGGTCATCATGTCAAAGGTTTGTTTGCTTGCTTGTTGGGCGTTCCCACAAGTTTTGAAAGCATGAAAACCTGAAATGTTGATCAAAAGAAGTCACGCGTTAAAATATGTTTTTATGATACTAAAATCATAATCGTTAAAAGGAAATATTGATGTCAGAATCCTTTATTTTCTGCCCATGTGCGTCAGGCTCGCTGACTTGGTTGACACATGTTATCATATCCGAACTGCGTAGATCGATTCTCATATTGATCACTGGATTGTCTGGTCCAGACTCGATTATTTACAGACCGGTTCCATATAGCTGGGATATTGCTGAGTGCGGCGTAAAACTAAACTTACTCACTCACATACTAAAGCCCTGAAAATAGATGTTATGGTTGTGATATCAGAAATCTTGAATTTAGATTTGATTTTGAGGGATTTTGTTTTCTCTCGAAATATGTTGTATATAAAGTATGCACTTTTGTCAATGAAATACTATCGGAAACGAACAGAGTGAATGAAAGTCAAGATGTAGAACTTATACCGGAGATAATCACGAAACCTCACATATTTGTCTTACCCAATTTGCCAGTTCTGGGAAAAACACACAATAAAAACAGCTTAAAAGGCGTATTGTGATATACCGGTATATCGGTAATACCGTGCAACCCTAAATGGATCGTTTAATATATCATTGAACGGCAGTCCACGAGGTGTTGAGGTTATTTTAAGTGAATGGGTGAGTATGTTTTTTTGCCACTTTTAGCAATATTAGAGCAGTATCAAAGCGGGGAACCAGACGTGGGCTTCCCCGAGGGAATCGAACCCGGATCTTCAGCGTGAGGCGAAAGCGCTGTAGCCATATGGCTACCCCACCGCTCTTCACCATTACGGGACTGTGAAGTAAAAGCTACGATTTGTTACTTTGAGTTTCAGAGTTTATGTAATCAATAAAATTACAACTGAAAATACGACAGTTCTAATGTTGTATTTGTAGGAAGTAAATGTTATCAGTGCACAAGCAAAACTTTCCTGCTTGCCATTTAGCCTAGCCTACAAAGCGTTAAAAAATCAGACGCATGGCTGCACAGAGGAAAAAATATTTCAATTTGTACGATTTTATAGAAATTATAATTTATTCAGCTCGTTGACATCATCCGTGATTTGAAAGCATCAGAATGACAGGTTGAAAGAATAAATCTTGAATTTGAACTTATTGGAACCCAAACAACTAAACAAACACATATCAGTTTTATTTTAAATAATCTGCAGAAAAACGACAATATGCTTCTAAGCCACAACGATTGGCGCGCACACACACACTAGCGCGCGTACGCACGCACGCACGCACGCACGCACGCACGCACATACATACATACATACATACATACATACATACATACATACATACATACATACATACATACATACATACATACATACATACATACATACATACTAGAATGACACCTTGATGGCGAATGTCGTCCAGCTATGCAATTCTACATCTTGAGAGTGGATTGCTGTTTAAGACGAAATGACAACTCAGAGGAAGTCTAATTCAGAAATAATGCCGATGACTGCAGTTTCAGTCCGCACTTATCAAGATGTTTAAAATTCCAATTCCATAACAGGAAAACGAACTGACTGTAACCGAAATGTAAAATGTAAATGTAAACTCGAGTCACTTTATAGTAATGACATGTATTACACACGCCCCCAAGCCCGTAAAGATCCGGGTTAGAATTGGTCTTCAGCAACCCATGCTTGTCGTAAGAGGCGTCTAACGGGACTCGGGTGATCAGACTCGCCGACTTGGTTGACACATGTCATCATATCACATTTGAGTAGATCGATGCTCGTGCTGTTGATCACAGGATTGTCTGGTTCAGACTCGATTATTCACAGACCGTCGCCATATAGCTGGAATACTGCTGAGTTTAACAACAAACAAATGCCACCCTGATACTTGCACGAATTTGTCCCCGCACTGCCGCGCAATTCGTCGTGGCAATGCGTGTAATTTAGGTGGTGCGCATGAAAGCGTGAAGCATAGTTTGCGCACTGTTCGTGTCCTGCCTACGCATAAGTTACGCACTTGGCATGCAATGCGTGACCGAAAATGGTGCGCATTGTCACGCATTGAAACGCTGTCAAGTATTGTTGGCGCATTGTTTACGTCTAGTGTACGACATGGTACGCACGACGCGCATAGTTCCAGCATGGGCATGCATTGCCACAACCCATTCGCGTATGCCTGAAGCAGTCGTGGTATTATTTGGTCCCGCTTTGTCAAGCTTGACGCCACGCTATATAAATAGCAGGCATCACCCCCAGCTTCATGCACTGCTGTGGACCTACAAGATGTTGAACACTAGAGAACAAGCTCTTATTGCAGAAAAGACAATGTGTCTATATCTCGCAGGTGCAGCAATACTACTTCTTGAAGACCGGCAAATGCAGCAAGAGCAGGCCAAAGAAGAAGACGTAACCCCAACTAGAAAAAAGCAAGGACAGTGTGGGTGAGGGACTGGTTGACCAGAAGACATCACTTCGGACATTATGATCAGTTAATGACAGAACTCCATCCCAGAGGCTACAGAAATTACCTGCGAGTTTCCCCCGACTTGTTCCAAGACATGGTGGAGAAGTTAACCCCTCATCTTGAGAAGAAGACCACATTCATGAGCAGGTGGGACTCAAGCTGGCAACCATTCTTCGCTTCCGAGCCATTGGTAATTCCTATGTAAGTCTTCAGTACAGCTTCAGCGTTGCAAGTTCTTACGAGAAGTCTGCAAAGCCATCATTGAGGTTGCTGAAGGTTTTAGTTGCAGATGGAACTTCCACAACCGTCTGTGGGCTGTAGACGGCAAGCAAGTTGCTATGGAGAAGTCACCAAAAGCTGGATCATTCCACTACAATTATAAGGGCTTCCACTGCATTGTACTCATGTAGATGCTGGATACAAGTTCTTGTATGTTGATGTTGGGGCAGAGGGTGGTGCTTCAGATGGAGGAAATGGACAAACTCTACTCTGCATGAAGCTGTCGAGGACAACCGAGCCAGACTGCCAGGACCAGCTCCACACCTAATGATGACAAGCCTGTTAGTCCATGTGCCATATCATTTCGTAGCCGATGACGCATCTGCACTCAGAACTTGAGCAATTACATTGATAAAATGCGCTTATAAATATTTCGTGTGTGTGTGCCTGCGTGTGTGCGTGCGTGCGTGCGTGCGTGCGTGCGTGTGTGTGCGTGTGCGTGCGTGCATGCGTGCGTGTGTGTGACTTGTCTCCTGCTGGTGATATTCCTTGGCAAGAGAGAATGGTCACACACTGTCCCATAATAACCACAAATGTGGACCATGACGTTTCAGCAACACAGGATCTAATGCCTGTTAATTACTGTAATTACTATTCTCTAAATTCGTTATGTAAAGAAAGTATGAAAGTGCTTTTATTTCTTCTTTTTTTGAAACATACTTACTTATGTAACTTATGTAATGCGAAAACATACCATATTTACAAATGAAGGATTAAGTTAAAGTTAAAGTTATGTACGCGAGTTAAAGATATGTACACCCTCAGTGTCTGGGGTCATGAGAGTGTCCATATTCTTGGGATAAGGTGACAGCCAAATACTACTGTCCGCTGAACCTGGAGAAATATCCTTCTCCCTCTCTGAGACATCTGTCTCTATCCCTCTCTCTTTCTTTGTTTCTTGTCCGGTCTCTTCTTCAAGTCTTCCATCCACTGCTGGGCCTGCTCTTCCTCTGGTTGTCATCTTCGTGGCAGGCATCTTGTTGACTGTTCGCTATCGAGTTGAGGAATGTGGGGACTGGCGATGGGCACGCTTTTATGTACGCACTGCCGAGTGCGCGGTCGTTGCTGATTCGTGCGCCAACAATGCGTGAAGTAGGCGTGCCCAATGCGTATCAATTTCGTGACATGCGCAAACTATTCGTGCCGTGTGCGGGAACCCGTCGTGCCATTACCACGTGAACAAGTCGTATCAATACGCAAGTCCCGCCCGCCCACTTCACGACAAGTTAGAAGGCGTGAACTTTGCGCAATCTGTCGCGACCATGTCGCACACAGTTCATGATCAAAGGGGCCAGTGCGTGACACTGCGTGTCAATGCGAGCAGGGCCGGAAATTGACACGCTTTGATGCGCATCGCCCGCAGTGTTTGCGAGTAGGTTGCGCAATGTTAACGACTAGTTCACGCAAGTGACACGAAGATTATGCGTACCAGAAATTTTGAACATTTCAAAATTTTCTTTGCGCACTGGCACGCAGCCCCGCACAGTTTATGCACACTTCACAACAGTTTACGCTGAATTTACTCATTGGCACGCAAAATTGCGTACTAGTGCGGGGACAAAATTCGTGTAAGTGTCAGGGTGGCTAAACAAAGCAGATGCACTCAAACGGGATAAACGTTTCAGAATGTCTCTGAGTGGTCGACACCCGATAATATCAGAAAAGACTTCCATTAATGTCTTACCCAGTGTGACGTTGGGAATGTAGTACCTGTCGTTGAGTTGCCGCAAGAACCACCTCACTGCTTCGTTGATCTGAACCGACCGGTAGTCCAAACCAGTACATGACCCATTTTCATAGTGTTGTACAGCAAGGAGGCCTCCTAGCACCACGTCTCCTGGCATGTCCACTTCTCCACTGATGGACATTCCAAGGTGTAGGTGGAGAACCAACAGCAAGACCTGAACTAACATCTTGATCAGCTCTGAAACAGACATCCATCATGTCACCGGGCAAAGATATAACAAACAATGCCTTTAAATGCATTTGCACCAACAGTATCTGGTTTAGGTCATTTCACATGGTTGGGTGGTTGGGTGGGTGGGGTGAGTGGGTGGTTGAGTGAGTGAGTAAGTACGACGTGTTTAACAATATTCAAGCAATATCACGGCGGTGGATATCATAAATGGACTTCACACATTGTATAGATGTGGATCGAATCGAACCCGTGTCTAAGGCGTGACGAGCGAACGCTTTAACCAAAGAGTTACCCAACCGCCCATCAAGGCACATTTAAATTCACTCTGATTACTAACACATTAACCCTCCCAACTTCATCGATTACGTTGAGCATAAAAAGAAGACAACATCATGAAATAAAAATATACATGCATGACATGTATACGTCTTGAAGGAAAAGCACGATAGATCAACGTATGGTATCTTTTCCATTCAAAGGCATCACAAACTTTAGATGCAGCCATTTTCATAGGTACCTAGATCGTGATATAGCAGTTGCCTCTTGCTCTTAGCCGTCATGTAGATTTACAGAAATTCATCGAAATTATCCCGATAATTGATATGACGAGTAGATGCAGATGATGGAGCTGGGTGAGGATAGGGACTATCTTCCCCGCTTAGTGCCTGTGTTATTTATTTATGCCTTACGGAGGGTTTGAAATGTGAACGCAGAGGGCACACAATCAATATCTGACACGTAAAATGTTCCAGATACAGTGAGGAGCGTGGGAACAAGAGTGAGTGAGTGAATTTAGTTTTACGTCGCCGCTTTGAAAAATAACCCAGTAATATCACGGCGGGAGACATCATATATGAGTTCACTCATTGTGCCCATGTGAGGAATCGAACCCGGGTCTTCTCCGTGACGGGTAAACACTTTAAACACTAGACTACCCCATCGCCATCGAGGAAACAGGAGAAATGATAACATTTGCAATTGATATCATGTATTCAATCCTTAACAAACCATAAACTGACTCTTATGGAAGACATGGAGGGCTTTACCAAATTGGACACATTCTTCCATCGTTTTATCAGGTATAATATTGACCTTCCTTTGCATGCATTTGTGACAGATTACACGTCAAAAACTGTATTTCATAATGACCCAGAGACACATTCTCATGATATACTCTGAATAGTGCAGTCGGCTGTGCTTGAGCGGAACTTACTTTGTTGATATTGACATGATTTTAGTCGCCTCTTACGACAAGCATGGGTTACTGAAGACCAAATCTAACCAATATCTTCACAGGTCACGATTTGGTAATAATTTGAAGGTAGCTACATTACATGTATGTGACATACCTGGTTACGATCCTTCCCGCAGAACCCCAAACACTAGTGCTCGAGACTATATCACCTTTGTAACCACCACGTGTAGTCGTGTAAATTGAGATAATGTCGATGTAATTTTTCTTCCGGGTCCCGGTAAGTCAATGCTCTTTGGTTACGTCAAACGTGAACGTGCTTTTTACTGACCGAACTTTTCCTTAATATCAACAGGGATGTAGAATACAGTTACAGTCAACAACATCCACAGTGAGCACAAGCAACAGACAACATCTAAATATTCATGCATGGTATCGTTTTCACAATGACAATTTACATACATGCTGTGCTTGAACAAAAGGGCTACGATTAGTTTTAAATAAACTAGCGTATATACTGCTGACGATAATAGTGAAATGGTACAGTTTATTGTCATTTATATCTGAGTGAGTAAATAAACCCTGAGATATATTTCACGACACTGTGTATGTTGTACACACAGAGGGGCGATAGTCTGTAATTAATCCAGTCCGGACCAGACAATCCAGTGATTGATATTGTGATGTTTGATTCCAAGTCAAAACATTGATTACACAACAGTCTCGTTTCCTGCTGACTGGGTTCCGTCCTATTGCGCAACTTAGTACAATAACCAGTCCAGAATTTCGAGACCAACTCATTCAACAGGATATATAAATATTAATCAGTATTATTTGATACATCTAATCACTTGTATATTGCTACGGTTCATCTAATCCTTGCAAACACGTCGTACAGCGTGCTCTGTCGTACAGCGTGCTCTGTCGTAAAGCGCGCTATGACAATCGGAAATCCGGAAATCGTGAAAATCGAGCTCAAAACGAGGCTAGGCCGCTAGAAAGTTTTGGCGGTCTGGTACAGAATTGATATTATATCAATCACATTGTGCGTTACAAAAATACACTTAATAAGCGCAAAGAACACATAACAGGTGTAACCAATGAGCCAGATGAATTGTGAATTGTACGACCTCTTCAAACAGCGGCAGTCTGTGACGTCTTAGTTAACGACATGCTGCCTAAACCTCAACATAAAATATAGAAATACGATTGTTTAAAACTTAAAATCAATTTCTAAATACCATTTTCTTATGAAACAAGGAAGTGGAATTCAGTGTAACCATAGTTGTTTGTGGTGTCTTTTTTCACTTTCACACGAGAAAATCCGGTTCGGCTGAAAAGTAGGTCATTGTCTGAACTGGTTAATGAGAATCATGTTTCGGTTTGCGACGTAGAGGTCCTTCATATCGTCGACGTCAATGTTTATGTTGTACACACAGAGCAATATTTTACCAGTAGGACGATGGTCTGTAATAAATTCAGTCCGGACCAGACAATCCAGTGATTGACATTGTGACCATTGATTCACAACGTAGAGGTCCTTCAGAACAATCTCATGACCACCGGGGAACATTTGGTCCCGGATACTATTTCACAGGAAAGAAAATAAGGCATTAAAGGGGATTACCACGCCCCGGTGATTTCTTGTACTGAAACAATAGGTGTTGGGTAAGTGGGAAGACCCCCATCCTGTCGCCTCGTATAACCGTCATACTTTATCAGAGAGTTAGTGTTTGGGATGAAATAACAAACGGCCAACTAATGTCTGATGTTTATGCAACCTACGAGCCTCTACTGATTAATTAACAGCTTGGGTATCCGTGAAGATGCGGGTTACAATTCCTATCAGCAGCCTATGCTTGTCGGAAGTGGCGAATAACGTGATCGGCTGGTTAGGCTCGCTGACTTGGTTGAGACATGTCATCCTAAAACAATTACATAGATCGATGCTCATGCTGTTGATCACTTGATTGTCTGGTCAGACTCGATTATTTACAGACCGCCGCCATATATATTGTTGAGTGCGGCGTAAAACTAAACTCGACCACTCACTAGACTTGAGTCAACTGCCTCGGGAAGATTACCCAAACGTCGCAAGATGCTATTGATGATAAAAATCAGGGGTTTGTCTGGTCCAGATTCGATGTTTTATAAGCCGCTGTTATAGTGCTTGAATAGCGATTATCATCAATAAATCATGAATAACACAAACGTGTTTATATAACATACGGTAAACAGACACAGTTGAGTGTTCATGCATAATGAGGGAATGCGTGACTGTAGTTTGACGCCGATTTTAGTAATATTCCAGCACAATAGCTTCGGGAGATGCCAGAAATGGGCTTCACACAAATTCCCCATGTGGGGAATCGAAGGTGACGAGCGAACGTTTTAACCACTAGGCTACCCCATCGCCCCTTTAATGTTTGCAGAAAAGATATTCAAATAAACAATGCTCAAAAGGTTCCCTCCAGTCCCCATATTTTGTTCCTTGTATGGTGTGTGGTACTTTCCAGATAACACGCCTCTGTCATATATAATATTCAAGTGTTTGTTCTTCTGTTGATTCAAACACATTTCAACATTGTGTATAAGGAAGTAGTTTAAACACAGTGTATACGAATGGAAGCGTTTATTCATTAACATAAATGTACATGTATGGGTATTATCAACTTATGCCCGGAGCCCTGATAACATTTACATCAATGTTTTCCTCATACGCACACCTTTTCAATACGCCCAGATACCTAATGCCGCTAGATATGATCTCAAACATTTGACATTTTCCTTGATCAAGTTACATCTCTATATGTTGTTTACCATCACCATGTGCCATGTCCGTTTATTTTATGTTTCAACTTTTCGGAGTACATAAAAAAGGTGAACAGGCTAAACAGCAGCATGCACACAAAATTATCAATCTTTATTTCTTGTAGTGGAGGCCACAGGCCCATTCTACATTTACAATTGACTATGTTCATGTGAGAGTATATACAATATACAATATAAACAATAACATACGGTTCGGTTATGTTACAATATGTACACAATGACTGTCTAAGACAATAACATAGCTTTATATACAAATACACTGCTAGCATACACTGCTTTTTTAAGTTTCTGGATTTATCTCTGACATTAACATGTTAAATTTATGTACAGTAGGATTCAAATAATATTTCTTTGGCAAAAGTAAAGACCTTAGATCTTGGTATACATTACATACTAATACAAAATGGTATTCATCTTCAATATATCGTTCTTTGCATACAAGACATAATCTATCAACTTTAGTTTCATTAGCATATCTGCCAGTTTCAATTCGAAGCCGGTGTGAAAAACATCTAAATTGAGCAAACACAGCCCTGAATTTTGAAATAGTGAGTTCTTTGATATACAATTCTGAGCCAAATGATGATTTAAACGAAATATATGTTGAATATTTAGTGCTGCTATCGAGGGCTGCATGCCAATCTTGCTCATAAGATACTTTAAGTCTGTATACAAACACCGACATAAAATTTCTAACACCAACTACACATTGTTCCTCCCAAAGATAGCCAAATCCATACATGTAGAGAATATGTTTGATTTTAGCGGCCCAGTTACTTTTCCCCTTGATACAATCTAGAACTAATAACTTATAACATTTTTTCACAAATCTCGTATCAGACATATTGTATAATTTACACCAGTAGGCAACGGCCCTTATATAAGTAAAAATATACATTGGATAACGTCCACATTCTCCTCTGACAACATGGTTCGAAGTTGAGGATTTAACCCCAAGAAATCGTTTACATGCAAACATTTGTAAAATTTCAACTTCTTTATAATTATCTAAGCCCCATATTTCCGAACCATAGAGGAGAATGGGACTAATTTTAGAGTAAAAAATCTTTAAAAAAAGATCATATGGCAATGGATTAAATATATGTAGAGATTTAAGCACACTATATAAAATTTGTTTCGCTTGTAAAGCAGCAACTATTTACATGAAAAGTCCATGACAGGGATCTTGAAAAATTAACACCTAAATATTTATAAGACGGTACAATTTCTAGTAGATTCCCATTTATTCCTAATTACCTGAAATTTAAAATGATATGTTTATTTTAGCTTCGGTTATTGTGGCTGAGCATGATTTGCCATAGCTCCTTCTGGTGCCACCATTTTGAACAGCATGCGAATGAGTGAGTGAAATGGTTTTTACGCCGCTTTTACTAATATTCCAGCAGCATCACGACGGGGGACACCAGAAATGGGCTTCACACAATGTACCCATGCGGGGAATCGAACCTGGGCTTTCGGCGTGGCGAGCGAACGCTTTAACCACTAGGCTACCCCACCGCCACAACAGCATGTGAACCGAACTATAAATCATTTAGTCGCACGTGAATGACACAGGATGTTGTCACACGCTGGACTAAGCTTGAACTAGGTGTTCAAGGAAAACAGATAACTGAGTGAATTAAATATTACAAAGCATATCGGCAATGTTAGTCAGATAGGGAAGAAAACAATATATTCCTTTTTATCAATCTGTCAACAAAGGACAAAGGAGAGACAGGTGCATTACAGTCCCAACATAAAAACACACCTAATCAAGTTTCAAAACAGATATACAGCAGATTCAGTCTTAACATTTACATATATAAGATTGAGTGAGTGAGTTTAGTTTTACGCCGCATTCAGCAATATTCCAGCTATATGGCGGCGGTCTGTAAATAATCGAGTCTGGACCAGACAATCCAGTGATCAACAGCATGAGCATCGATCTGCGCAATTGGGAACCGATGACATGTGTCAACCAAGTCAGCGAGCCTGACCACCCGATCCCGTTAGTCGCCTCTTAAGACAAGCATGGGTTCAATATTCTAACCCGGACCTTCACGGGTTACATATATAAGAAGGCTAAAGATCCCCATAACCAAAGTGACACCAAATAACTGGGGATCAAGGGAACTTAAACACCTTTGCTCCCTTCATGAATTCTCAGCAGGATTTACGCCATCACTGTGTTCACGAGTGTCTGTGGGTTTTGCTAGACAATAGAAAAACACACAAAACAATCTAAATTCTAAATCACTAGTTAATGTTATATGCGTTGAACAAGACTTACATGCGTAATGTGTGAATGAATGAATGAGTGAGTGAGTTTAGTTTTACGCGACTTTTAGCAATATTCCAGAAGTATCACGGCGGGGGACAACAGAAATAGACTTCACAGATTGTACCCATTTGGTGAATCGAACCTGGGTTTTCGAACGTTTTAACCACTGGTAACCTCTCAAAACCCCTACATCTCATAACCCCTACAGCTTATAACAACAAAGTTCATGGTCCAGTGCACTGCTAATCTCCTGCCTGTTACCTATTTCATACAATGGGCCAGCCCAAACTCTTGATTTTAATGAGCAATAACTAAACTCAGAGTTTCAGAGAATGGTTTTAATGGAAGATAACAAGAATATTTTAACAAAAGTTCAATAATATTGAGGTTTAATAAACTTCATTAAATATCATAATGTCATAACATATTAACTGGGTTTTTTATGTTTTGTTTGTTTTACATATTATCTGTCAACCTCAAGCAAATTGGTTTTGCTATATTCCAGCCTCAGGATCTCCATTTTGTTTGACTTTTCATCTTGGTGCCCCCCAAAAAACACAAAATCTGCAATAAATGCATCACAAACTATCTGTGTTTGAGATAGGTAGAAGTCCGCTAGAATCAAACGTAGATATTAAAGTGCATTAAAAAGCAATTTGAAACTACAGTCGCTTGTTAAAGTGATTTCCACCTTCATGTTTACTGAAAGAACTTGTTTTGGAGATACTACGGTAGTCATCCAATACTACTATACTGAACATATGTTATATTATCTGAGGGGTACCAAATGACAGATCATTATTCATTTTTTGCAAATTTTAAAGAAATAATATACCCCAATGTGTTGTGATATGTAAAATATTGGATATGGTCTTACTAATAATTTCTTGGAAATAGAATGGAAGCTTTTCAAACTTTGGACATCGCGAATATAGTAAGGCTGACTACTTTTTGAACGCCCCTCGTATATACCACCCCAAATCATCTCAAATTATTGATCTCAGTTTACTATCTCCAACACAATTACAGTTGATATTATTACGATTTGCAAAATCTGTTTATTCACTATGTACATCGGGAAGCTAAAAAACTAGTTAATCCATCTCAATTATATAAAATGAATTATTAAAACACTAATAACAACAGCACAATCTTATTCCCTTCTCATCTCTATACTCTGTGCAGCAGGATGTCTCCCAAAACCCCTACATCCCCAATATCAAAGGGTGACTTTTAACCATATACCTTATCACTGTAAATGTTAGGACGAATCAAACAATTCATGGCTGCATGTGCATCATTGGACAGTCAAGAAAGAGTTGCACTTAATGAACACACAAAGTGAGCGACAAATTGAAAACACCGTATCATACATCATTAACTAAGTTACTGTGAATGAGTTTTGGTTTTACACTGCTTTGCAACAATATCACGACCAAGACTTCACACATTGTACCCATGTGGGGAATCGAACCCGGATCATCAGCGTGAAGAACGAACAATTTGAGGAAAAGGGTACCAAACCGCTACAAATAAATGCCTGTGAAAACAATATATATGTATCTGTATATATCTGATTGATGTGCAAACTGAACAAGACAATGGTTATCGTTACATTCTACACTATCAACATCACACGTGACGTCATTCCATGTCATGACATGATTGAAGGGTGATATCCCATTTATGGCAGTCTGTTGTGCACTGGACCATGCAGGTGTTGTATCTCACTGCCAAAATTGGGACAACTGGTGTGATCAATTAAGATCAATTAGGTCTCGTCAGTAAGGTGGTAACTAAGTTGCTACTGGGACAATTAGGATCAATTAGGTACTGAGGAGGTTTGTAGAGTAGGCTAGTAAAAGTAAAGAGGTTAGAGTAGACTGATTGGAGACCTCAGTGCGACATGTAAAGTGTGTCATGAAGCCTTGGTGATGAAGGCTATGGACAGAAAGTGACGTGTACTCACTGTGACTTGAAAGAAAAACAATTCCTCACTATAGTCTGTTTGCAGTGAAAACGTACCGATGAATTTCACTTTAAACAAGAAAGTAAATCGAATAAAGTGAAATTAAGATTGCGAATCCTCATAATTTTACCTTGCCAACTGAACATTTAAATATCAGAATTTTATTAAACTTAGGATAAAAGTTGTTTAACAAACGATCATAGTTTCAAATCGTTATTATTGGTTTGTATTACAAGGGTGTATGCACATTAAATGAAACACCGAGAACAAGCAGAGTTGGTCTAAGTTAACGCTCATCACGTACCGCACTGCATTTGTTTCAGTGTTCCAACTACTGCACTTACCCCCTTGTAATACAAACCAATAATAGCGATTTGAATCTATGATCGTTTGTTAAACAACTTTTATCCTAAGATGAATAAAATTCTTAGATTCAAATGTTCAATTGGCAAGCTAAATTTATGAGGATTCGCAATTTTAATTTCACTTTATTTGATTTACTTTTTTGTTTAAAGTAAAATTCATCGGTACGTTTTCACCGCAAACAGACTTTTTTTTATAGAGAACACGCAAAATCTGTCCAGGAGAAACAGGCCGAAGAAATGCTGGAGTCAACAAGAAATCGGTTAAAATGTTTTTGATTGTGTCATGGTTCCAGTGTGACAGTTTGACAGAGGTAGGGCAGATCATGCTAACGTCATGGGTGTTGTTACGGACAAAACTGATGATAATCAGCACGGTATTGCCACAAAACATGGACACTATGATATCTGTGAGATCGGCTGCCAAGCTTTATAGCACTGGTAGAGGGTAGAGTTACAAGTGTAACTGTTCTGGCATGTGTTAATGCAGGCGGTGTCTATGATACAAATCTGGTAGTACGAGTATGTGTTCAAGCCACTGTCATCCCAGGAATTGAAAATGTTTGAATAAATAGAGAATCTAAATAGGGTATTGTAAATGTTATAATAAATTGCGTATCATCATGTTTTAATATGTCTCTCTTATTGTAATAAAAACATATCTGATGATCACAACATTTCTTGCTCATTCCAAGGGATTACGTAGTGAGGCATGCCCGATCCGCAGATTAAGCAAGCTAGGTCGCGGTTGACGGGAATGGGGCAATGCCTTTGCGTAATTCGCGGATTAGGCAATTCCGTATAATACGCCCGACATACATACACGTTATATACAAGACTATATTAGCTGACAGGAACTATACCCAACATAAACTTGGCAATTTTGGGTTAGTGTTCACAGGACGTTAGAACATTGATTCCTTATATGGTGTTAAAGTTACATTTTAGCTAAGCATACTTTGCGATCCGATCAGCTGATATGCCACTAAACCAACACATGTAAGGTTTTTTCTGACGTCAGCAATGACATGTTTAGGAATCCGTGAAGATCTTGGTTAGATTTGGTCTTCAGTAACTCATGCATGTCGTAAGAGGCGATAAACGGGATCGAGTGGTCAGGCTTGCTAACATGGTTGACACATGTCATCGCTGATCACTGTTCTTGCTGTTGATCACTGGATTGTCAGGTCCTGACTCGATTCTGTACAGGCCACCACTATATAGCTGGTATATTGCTGAATGCGGAGTTAAACAGCAATATGGAGGGATGACACAAGCTACATATGTTCCAACCTCTCCATTGTTTCAATGGCCCCATCGTCAAAAGGTTTCATTTCAGTTTCATCCACGTGTTTGGCTGTGAGATAATCACTGGATTGTGTGGTGCTCAGACCCTGGTAGGAACAGCCAGGTTGTCGGTTATCCGGGTTGATGGATAGGTAGTGATCTGTAACAAACGGAACATTGTGATCTCTGAAGTTACACATGCAGCAACAGACAGTGCAATGCTCGACTTGAAGGTCTTTATCCAGTCTCCATGACATATCTCTTCTTACTGTACCCTTTTCGCGAACACCCGGTGTCATGAGTAATTATCCGAGGGTAATTCATACAATTCTATTGCTGTTTTGCACTTTACACCCAATGAAAACCGGGATAGGCATGACTTCCTATTCCTTCGCACTGGCCTTATATATAAACAACAACCAAACCAATCACATAACACTTCTGAATTATGAAAGCAGAATTATGTGCAAATCTTTGTAAATCATTGTGATATAGATCCTTTTATTAGGCTTCTTGGGCAATTAACATGATTAACCCTCATTCGAATTGAATGTTCTGGAATGTTATGTCATTTGTCAAAATATGTTTAGTACATTGGTGAGGATTCCATGCGCCAATGGCAGTAACATTAGGTCATAATTACCTTCTTTAAGCACCTTTCCACGTCGACGTGTCTTGACAATGCAACATGTCAAAATTAAGATGCATGCGACCAAACCACTTACAGTTGATATTAATGGGATGTTCATTTGCCAGTCCGACCTGATAATGACATTATAGATTTGTTAAAACAACAGTCTGTGTAACATAAGCTCCGTTGATCCATAAACACTTTTCACAAAAAAGAAGACAATATATCTTTGTAGGACAGTTTACACGATTATTTTTAAGAAGACCACCAAAGACTTTCATTACGTATTGATCTAGCTACCTTAATATGAAAATTATAACCTCTTCCTTTTAAATAGCATATTTCATATTTGTAGAATTTCACGACATTTGAAGGATGAGTTAATAACAGAAAGAGTTAATGCTTTGCTACCTCAATACGAAAGTAATTTTCACTTCCGGTTTAAAGACATCATTTTGGTTATGGGATATATAGGAAGTCTCCATGAGAATTCCAAACACAGAATGAATAATATGAAATACGTACGGGTTTTCTGTGATATGAAGTTGTTCATTGCAAATGTTGCACTCAATTTCTTTCTCGCACTGGGATTCAAATCCTCCATCCTTTGCTAAGGTAAAAGCAGGTATGTCAAGGTCAATTCCTTCTGCTGATGAAAGTCCCACCTGGTATAAAATGACAATAGGATATAAAAATACAGAAATGAATCATTTGTTACAGCTTACCTGTAGTTCTTGTTAAAGAAAAATGAAGCCTTAGAAAAACAGCGATAGATACTCAGTTCCAAAAGAAACGGGAATCGCGTGAAACTGTGATAAAGTGTTGAAGAAAGAAATTGATGTTTGCACATGAAAACTGGCATAGAAAACAACATGAATCCTTAAAGTGAACGCACAAATTATCTTATAACCGACGTGTTTGTGATAGTTAATAGATGTGATAGATAATAAGACGTTACGTCATTTGGTAATGTCACTTAAAGGTCATAGGAAAGGACATTTCTGTATCGAATATGGCCTCCATTAGCTGCAGTACACGGTCTACGCATGCTCATGAACAGGTTGCGAATGAACACTCGTCGAAAGTTATTGTAATTGTTTAGTTACAATTGTTACAGAGAAACTAGTTGGGGAAGTTGGCGATGAACCCGAATGTTCACTTGCACAAGGTAGTCGAGACAACAAAACGAATGAGAAAGAAAAAACGATATTCGTATGACGTCACACACCTTTATGTTCGGTTTCATCAGAAAATACAGCTGACGAGAATCACTATCTGAGCTTCGTACACACATACATCACTTCGCCTTCATCTGTATTTCAAACATTTTAATATTCTCGTTTATTTGGGAATTCAATATTAGAGGGTTTGGTTTAATTCCGATTTGAATAACACACAACTTAAGTCATGACAACACAACGTTTGTAACAAGGGAAATGCTATATATGTTCTCTAAGCGTTTTTTAAGAGAAAGGAACTTCAAATATTACCTTCTTGTATGACAGTTCATTATCTTCCTTTATCACCTGGAATATTGTGTATCCCACACTTCCTTCGCCGTTTTCGTCGAAGACACGCACATTCCTGCCTGCATTGTAGATGTCTAAGGTTATGTTCTTCACATTCTCCTTAAGATTTACAGTTTTAAGTTTGTCACAAAGTACAAACTCTCCACAGGAAGAAAACACTGACTTGTTAAAACCTAGAACCAGAGAAAATGCTGCATTGATTGCAAATGGTACCCAAAGATCAGATTGAAGATGGCGTGAAATTATGTCAGGTGTACATTGTGTCGTGTGTTGTTTGTTGAAACTCATTGGATAATGACATTTCGCTCTAGCTTCGAGATACTCACGAAGCCACGGATTCTTAGATTGTTCGACATTAATATCCATGAAGTAGTTTTCATAGTCGGCATACTTTGGAAGCAGCTGCGCCAGTGTCAAACTACCAATCACCTGTTTGGTATTCGCCAACACTGCCTCTCTCTTTGACCAGTTCTCGCCACCAATAAAAGCAAATTCTCCAGGTTTGCTTGTTTCATCAAGAACACTCATCAACACCGGTGTCACGTGGGATAAAACAAATATGATGATGACTTTTGCTTGGGGGTACTTTCTTAAAGAAGAAACATGCCCTAACTGATCATCTTTCTTTTCTGAATTTTTCACACTAAGTGACTGAGCAACACATACCCTGTGTTTTTTACCAGCCTCCAAGAGAGCCTTATTTCCCGCCTTCCCGTATTCCTCATCCGTGTGGATGATCTGGACATATTTGGATCCCAATTTACTAGCCAGTTCCATGATGGCAGCAGCCTGCTTGTAGTCAGGGGAGCAAGTTCTCATGAAATGTGGGAAACGTTGCCTGTTGCTTAGGGTTGAAGATGTTGAGGAATACGAAATGTAGAGATCGTCCATTTCTTTCATGATTGCAGAGATGGGAACGCTGACGGAGCTCATATACGGACCAACGTATCCTATAATGTTTCTTGTTATTTGAGAACTATTAGTGGATGGATCAAGCTGCACCTTGCCACTGTTGAGTTTAATCAGCCTCTCAAAAGTCAGGTACGGAGTGGCACATGTGTCCATCATTACAAGTCCCAGTGTTTTGGTTCCGAGAATGGATCTAAATATTCCCCTTTTCTCGTTCATTGTCTTTACTGCATACACAATTGATTCCACAATGTCAACACTCAGGCCGGTTCGTAAATCACCACAGATATGAGGCGATTCCCCTTTGTTATGCACAGGAACAAGTCCAACAACATAGAAGTCCCCGGGCAGGTGGAGAATGTGTCCCACGCTATTGTTTGAAACACACGAACTGCACGTTGATCCCAGTTTACACTGTGCTTTCACAAACCCGTTCATTTCAATGTTGTTGCTGTAATATTTAAGGATGGATTTCTTCACGTCTAGAGTTCTGTTTACGAAGGTACCAACCTAAAACAGATAACAACACACATAGAATTAATCTACACATAGAAATCATGTTTCACTCTAACAATGTTATTATCTCTTCATATCATCGCACTATAACGTGCGTGTATTGCGGAAACGAAGAAGCTGGAATATCTGAAAGAAATATTTTGTATGAACGTTACGCTGCCCAGGCTTGCGCCCTGGAGATGAAATTACAGCTCAACGACAGCGATGGCACAGCGCTGAATGCAGCATTAAGGGCGTCCTATAGACCCCTTGACAAAGCACTGACATCAACTGGATTTGATCACTGTGCTATATATGCACCAGAGTGGCCAGTGCGACATGGAATGCACAAGAGGGTGCACCATTCAAAGCCTCATATCGAATTCTGGAAGACTGAGATAGACAATACTCTTGTTACAGAACAAAGGAAACATGACACCACCTGAGAGACGCTCTCCATGTCATTGCACGCTCAGCCTTCTAACTGTGGTAAAATCAGATTTCCTACAAATGCTGGTTCAAACAGAAGTCTCTGCAAGCTTTCGAAAAGGTGCAACCGCACTTAGTCATTCGCTTACAAGGTGTGTTTGACGGCATCGCGACATGATCCAACTCAAAGCAAGATTGCGCCTCTACTATCTGCAACGAACGAAACTTTAAGTAACAGTGACAAGCACTCCCACTCCAAGGAAAACAGCATATATGATGAAGGAAGTGGACGATATACGATCAGTGGAGGAGCTGCGTAAGGTGATCGCGAATGTACAGAATGGGTTTGTGAAGGAGGATGTTGTTTCATCTTCAGCAGTGATCCTAAATATTCTTTGAGAAGGATAAAACAATAACATCTGGCAGCAACATATATCCACTGCCTGAAAATATCCACATTTTTAGCATTATTATTATTTCTTTCAAACATTTTCTGGCACAATATATTTTTTCCATAAAACTGTGCCACCCCTGTTCCCGACACCAAATCATGTTGTATTTGGCAAACTGTTAAAAAAAACCTATCACTATTTTCAGTGATTAGTTTAAGTAATTACCTGGCGGAAACAGAAGCCATGCGTACTGTTACACTTCTGTAGGTTGTACACGTTGTATGTGGAGATGTTGCCGTCGTTGATATGATGTATTTTCCCATCTTTAAAATTATATCTCTCGCTGTATGGCCGGAGCTCTTCTGGAAAGTCAACTGAGGCATCAACAGTGAGGCTGGAGATGTTGTCAAACACTCTGCGTCTTAAACCAGGATATAATTCGCTCGTCGTCTTCACAGTTTTAGCGAAGGCTGCTGAAGCTAGAAGAACGTAATGTACAGATAAGGGTACATCATCGTTGTTGACGTCGCATCGCTCAGAAGGATTACATCGAAAATATGTTTCAAGCCAGTTATTGTTTTCTCTTTGTTGTGTCCTCAACGTGTGGTTGCAGTGGAGTTCACTCCAGTATTTTCGGAACATCTCAGCATCTTCATAAGGTGGGCTGGTTGTCAGAAGTCCCTTAGCAGGGGCATACAACGAAACGTCACTCTTTACATGTTCAATGTTCAGCGATAGGGACTCTGTGAAGATTATTTGAAACTTTGGCAGTTTTATTTTAAGGAAGTCTAACAAGTTCCTGGCAGTGTGTCTCTGGCCCATAAACACCATACCGATCACCGAGCTTCCTTCTGATGGTTCCAGCTTTTCGCGGATCTCGTTAACTCGTCTTCGTACGTCCTCAGTGCCAGCATCTGCGTCGATTCCAAGGAAGACCTGGACACATATTTTGTGTTTCTCTGCTCGTTCTTTCAATGCTTTAGCACCTGTTTCTCCATAAACGTCCATCTCATATACGATCGCTATGTAGTTCCATTGAAGGGACACCATCAGTTGAACGATAACCTTCAAATAATAGAATAATTCCTAAAAGTGAGTGAGTTAGGTTTTATGTCGCTTTTAGCAATATGCCAGCAATATCACGGGGGGGTGGGGGGTGGGGGGAATCCGAAATGCGTTTCACACATTGTACCCATGTGGGGAATCGAACCCGGGCTTTCGGCGTGTCGAGCGAACGCTTTAACCATTAGGCTACCTCACCGACCCTAATTCCCATAAATCTATTCTAGACAAAGAAATATGGACCGTAAACATATTTGGGGAATATTTTCTGTAGAGAATACTGAGCCTAAAAATTTGATAGCAGGATTCATACAATATTCATGGTTTGTAACACTTTCTCTCTCAGTGACACTGTATTCTGTTACCCGGAATATTAATTATAAAAAGAAACATTCCGTTTCGAGCACCTGCAAATGTACGGAAGTGTAGTATTCCGAAGATGTAAATCATTATCTTGTATAAAACTAAGACATGCCTTTCTCTCCAGTTTTTGTTTCTTTCCGCCGATGGTTTTCACGCAAGTGGCCATGTCTTGATGTGTTCGCACATTAATGTTTGATATATCTTACCTCTACTTGCACATCATCAGTTTGTATGACCCGGTACAGGTTTTTGTAGATACTCTTGTCAGAGAGGATGGCGGCGGTGGCGGAGTAGGTGATCTGCAGCAGACGATCATCCTCCGGGAGAGAACTCAACAGACTTGAAACTGATTCAGTCTCACCACTAGTTTCTGGTCCAAGCACACCTACAAAGAGTTTAAACCCCAATTCTGTCACAGTAGCCCTGACGAGTAAGTGAGTTTACGCCACTTTTAGCAATATTATAGCAATGTCACGGCGGGATAATACCAGACATTGGTTTCACATATTGTATCCATGTGTGGAATCTAGCCCGGGTCTATCGCGTGATGAGCGAACGCTTTAACCACTAGGCCATCCCAACAGCCTCAGTGGTCCTGACGAAGAAGATGAAACTATAGTAGTACGCTAGCCTATCCAAGGGTTTGATACTTTCTTCACTATAAAACAACATGGAACGTGAAAGTAGTATTATATAGATATCATAATACCATTATGAGATTCCAGTGAGCTGCAATGAGCTTAGTTTTACGCCGCACTGAGCAATATTCCAGCTATATGGCAGCAGTCTGTAAATAATTCCGTCCAGACCAGCCAATCGAATGATAAACATCACGAGCATCGATCTAGTAGAAATACGATACCATGTGTCAACCAAGTCAGCGAGCCTGAATCCCCGATCCCTTTGGTCGCCTCTTACATGGGTTTCTGAAGACCAGTTCTAACCCGAGTCTTCACGGACCCATCAGCAATAGTGGTAGCAATATCATTATTTAGGGAGCTAGGAATTACAGTCAAACGTAACATCATCAGTGTCCCGGGTGATATAGGATTATTAAAAGCATTAATGTGTAACTCAGCAGCTGAGGGAGTGAGATACGTTTAACGACGCAAGTTGACAACAGGTGTACACATCACAGGGAAGATACCTTCAACAGGTGTTGTCACTGCCTGAACAGCAATAAGCAGCTTCTTCAATATCATCATTACAATATGGTCATGACTAGGAGAACCAAACATCATGAGTGAGTGAGTGAACATTGTTTTACACCTCTTTCAGCAATATTCTAGAAATATCACGGAGATCAGAAATGGGCTTCACACATTTTACCTGTGTGGGGAATCAAACCCGGGTCTTCGGCGTGACGCATTAACCAATATGCTACCCAACTGTCTCCCATGAACCATGACAATCATTAGTGATTACTGTTGCAGCATTAGTAGCTATAGGGAAGCGGTAACTGTAAGTTAAGTGAGTACATGTAGTAATACAGTTGAGACATGATACCATATAGATGGTCGGTTGATTCGTTGTTATAAACTCTCAGCATACGCAGCGTCTGGTTCACCGCCTGTGTGGGCTGTCCTTTAGTGTTGAATGCATGGAAACCTGGAATAAACAACGTTATGTAATTTTTGTTTGTTTGTTGTTTAACGCCAAAATCCGCGATATTCCAGCTATATGGCGGCGGTCTGTAAATAATCGAGTTTGGACCAGACAATCCAGTGATCATCAGTACGAGCATTAGGATACGATGACAAGTCAACGGATTAAAGATTGAAAAAATATTAATGATGATAATTTTGATATGACCTCCAAATCGAAATGCTTTACAGCACAATAAATCATGACATTGTACTGTGAAGCATTTCGAGGGGTTATCTCAAAATATCTTAAACTTTATCCTCGCAAAGACACGAGGGCCTGTGCTTACGACAAGCATTGGTTGCTGAAGACCAATTCTAACACGGACCGTCATGGGAAACGTTGTATGATATGACTACTGGGTAGTACCTGATGTTCAAACGTAAATGAATCAGGCACCATCAAAACAATTCATCTCTATTGGACGAACGCACATGCGCTTGAGGTAAAATCGATTTATCATCCAAAACTGTGTTCCACATGAGATATCGCTTGTGTGAGATCATAAGAGATCTCCTAGGAGATATCGTTTTGACAGTAGATTTTGTACAATGCCCTGACAATGCTATGACGTCATGGACTTGATGACGTCATAATGTTATGTCGTTATGACATCTCACCCAAGTGTCTACTGATATCAATTATATCAACACTCGTTGATAAAGGTGAAAATATCCTCGGCAAGCCTCGGATATTTGTAACTTTATCAACTCGTGTTGATATAATTGATATCAGTAGACACTTGGGTGAGATTCTCTATTTAGCTGGATTTTTGCGAAACCCTTGGAGTCACTACTGATTCTCAGTCATTACCAACAAAAATTATTTGTACGCCTATTGGAATGTGTAATCATTGGTACCCTGTTAGCGACGTATGGTTGTAATGCAAGATATGTATACGACGTATAAGCATGAGGTTAAGACCTCTGATGACCGGGTTGTGTATGGCCATAAGGTATGGTGTTTTCTCTGATAACCATTAAGAGTATAAGCATGAAGTATGGTGTTTTCTCTGATAACCATGAAGAGTATAAACATGAGGTATGGTGTTTTCTCTGATAACCATGAATAGTATAAGCATGAGGTATGGTGTTTTCTCTGATAACCATGAAGAGTACAAGCATGAGGTATGGTGTTTTCTCTGATAACCATGAAGAGTGAAAGCATTAGGTATGGTCTTTTCTCTGATAACCATGAAGAGTATAAGCATGAGGTATGGTGTTTTCTCTGATAACCATGAAGAGTGAAAGCATGAGGTATGGTGTTTTCTCTGATAACCATGAAGAGTATAAGCATGAGGTATGGTGTTTTCTCTGATAACAATGAAGAGTGCAAGCATTAGGTATGGTGTTTTCTCTGATTACCATGAAGAGTATAAGCATGAGGCATGGTGTTTTCTCTGATAACCATGAAGAGTATAAGCATGAAGTATGGTGTTTTCTCTGATAACCATGAAGAGTATAAGCATGAGGTATGGTGTTTTCTCTGATAACCATGAAGAGTATAAGCATGAGGTATGGTGTTTTCTCTGATAACCATGAAGAGTATAAGCATGAGGTATGGTGTTTTCTCTGATAACCATGAAGAGTATAAGCATGAGGTATGGTGTTTTCTCTGATAACCATGAGGTAAGAGTGATAAGCATGAAGAGTATAAGTAGGTATGGTGTTTTCTCTGATAACCATGAAGAGTATAAGCATGAGGTATGGTGTTTTCTCTGATAACCATGAAGAGTGCAAGCATGAGGTAGCATAAGTGTTTTCTCTGATAACCATGAAGAGTATAAGACCGAGGTATGGTGTTTTCTCTGATAACCATGAAGAGTATAAGCATGAGGTATGGTGTTTTCTCTGATAACCATGAAGAGTATAAGCATGAGGTATGGTGTTTTCTCTGATAACCATGAAGAGTATAAGCATGAGGTATGGTGTTTTCTCTGATAACCATGAAGAGTATAAGCATGAGGTATGGTGTTTTCTCTGATAACCATGAAGAGTATAAGCATGAGGTATGGTGTTTCTCATGATAACCATGAAGAGTATAAGCATGGGATTATGGTGTTTTCTCTGATAACAGATGAAGAGTATAAGATGAGGTTTGCCGTGTTTTCTCGATAACCATGGGAAGTGTAGACAAATTTGACCCGGATCTACATCTAACTTTTGCGGCGTGGCCTGTAAACATATTTTGTCTCTGATAACCATGAAGAGTATAAGCATGTGAGGTATGGTGTTTTCTCTGATAACCAGTTGTAAAGAGTATAAGCATGAGGTATGGTGTTTTTCGGTGTGAAGAGTGATAAGCATGAGGTATCGAGTGTGTTTTCTCTGATAACCATAAGAGTAGTATGGTGTTTTCTCTGATAACCATGAAAGAGTATAAGCATGTATGGTGTTTTCTCTGATAACCATGAAGAGTATAAGCATGAGGTATGGTGTTTTCTCTGATAACCATGAAGAGTATAAGCACTGAGGTATGGTGTTTTCTCTGATAACCATGAAAGAGTATAAGCTGATGATGGTATGGTGTTTTCTGTGATAACCATGAAGAGTATAAGACTGAGGTTTCTCTCGATAATGGTGTTTTCTCTGATAGTCTGATACCATGAAGAGTATAAGACTGAGGTATGGTGTTTTCTCTGATAACCATGAAGAGTATAAGACTGATACGATGTATGGTGTTTTCTCTGATAACCATGAAGAGTATAAGCATGAGGTATGGTGTTTTCTCTGATAACCATGAAGAGTATAAGCATGAAGTATGGTGTTTTCTCTGATAACCATGAAGAGTATAAGCATAAGGTATGGTGTTTTCTCTGATAACCATGAAGAGTATAAGCATGAGGTATGGTGTTTTCTCTGATAACCATGAAGAGTATAAGCATGAGGTATGGTGTTTTCTCTGATAACCATGAAGAGTATAAGCATGAGGTATGGTGTTTTCTCTGATAACCATGAAGAGTATAAGCATATAAGGTATGGTGTTTTCTCTGATAACCATGAAGAGTATAAGCATGAAGTATGGTGTTTTCTCTGATAACCATGAAGAGTATAAGCATGAGGTATGGTGTTTTCTCTGATAACCATGAAGAGTATAAGCATGAGGTATGGTGTTTTCTCTGATGACCATGAAGAGTATAAGCATGAGGTATGGTGTATTCTCTGTTAACCATGAAGAGTATAAGCATGAGGTATGGTGTTTTCTCTGATAACCATGAAGAGTATAAGCATGAGGTATGGTGTTTTCTCTGATAACCATGAAGAGTATAAGCATGAGGCATGGTATGATGAACATGTGGTGCAAAGGAAAATGGGATTATAGTTATTTGACTGAAATAACAGATCCTTAGACACTAAGATCCCGTTTGCCGCCCCTTACGACAAGCATGGGTTAGTGTAGACAAATTTTACCCGGATCTTTACGGGTATAACCTGATTTATGGCCTGTATGCCATGCATGGGATAAAGGCTCATGGGTCATCGCATAAGTGTATAGGTGACATCTAACCTTTGCTTTTTGTGACCTATAAACATATTTTGTCGCACTGTCGATAAATATCAGTAACAAATTTAATCCTCTGAGAACAAGTTCACATTTTCCTGTTATTGAAGGAACCCGGAAGTTGTAACATGTTATCCTCATTTTTCGGCCCACCAATCCTCGAACCAGGCCACATTGTTAACTTCGCGTGTCAAGAGTCAATGATAAGAACAACACTCTACGAAATCCAAGTACTGGGTTTCTATAGTGGCTTCATTGCGTGCGGCCTATTTTGTAACTGTTATTGGCTTTTATACAATGACTTCTTTATTACGAGAGTGCGACGTTTGGATACAGATTCTTGTACCGTTGTCAAGCGATGACAACGGTGACCAGTGCAGATCCGGGGTAGAAAAGGTGTTCAGCAACCAATGCTTGCCACAAAAGGCGAATAGGCTTGTCGTAAGAGGCGACTAACGGGATCGGGTGGTCAGGCTCGCTCACTTGGTTGATACATGTCATCGGTTCCCAATTGCGCAGATCGATGCTCATGCTGTTGATCACTGGGTTGTCTGATCCAGACTCGATTATTTACAGACCGCCGCCATATAGCTGGAATATTGCTGAGTGCGGCGTAAAACTAAACTCACTCACTCTCTCAATGACAACGGTACATGAATCTGTATCGAAACGTCGCACTCTCGTAATAAAGAAGTTGTTATCCATAAAGTTTGTCAATTTTGTACTTCCTAGCTTCTAAAATGCTACTCAAAGAAGTCACAAATACTTGTTTTGTTTTTAATACGGCCCCAAATAGCGTTTTTAGAATTGAATATATTTTGTGACAAGTCGGGACATTTCGACTTCAATAAAATGATGAGAATTCGAAATATCTCGCATAATATCGCTATTTTTTTACATATTTTTCGTTTGTTTCCTAAGTTCGAGCTCGCGAAAATACGAGAACGCGAGAATATCCTTTCTTACAGAATTCAATGACCGAAATCGTACAAAACGTGGTGTGAATATGAACCTACATGTATTTGAAAAAGAATTTCACGGTTATGTATTTCCTTTGGCAGAAAATATATATCCCCAGACATTCTCTATAGAAACATTCGTAGAGAGGTTTTAATGATTTATGAACTGGAAATCTAATTCAAGCTTAAATGACAGTATGTAACTCTAAACCCAAGGCGAATAACTGAGTGAGTATTGTTTTACGGCGCTCTTAGCAATGTTCCAATAATATCAAGGCGAGAGACACAGGAAATTGGCTTCACACATTTTACCCATGGGAGAAATCGAACCCGGGTCTTCGGGGTGACGAGCTAACGCTATAACCACTAGGCTACCCCGGAGGCCAATTAACAATTTTAACTGAACGAAGCACTTGCAAATGAACAGTCAGACTACCATATCATCCTACCGGGTACCCGTACACAGTACATAGTGAACAAGGGTATAAGTCAAACGCCACTTGCATATGGAAATAAGACTTCCAAATGAGTTCCAATGTTGGGTAAGACCGAAGCCCTAAATATAATGCGCAGCACTCACCCAACGTTTTGCCAGGAATGTAGTGTCTGTCGTTAAGGCGCCTGAAGAACCATCTGGCCGCTTCATACAACTGCATAGATTCTGTGCTCATCGCTCGACAATCCGTCTGGACACCCTGGATTCGAAACAGTCCACCCAGGATGAAATCGCCGGGCATTTTCACATCGAAATCCAAAGACCTCACCGCATGTACAGATGCAAGGAGATAGAGTGTGTGCCAAACACAACGCATTTTAGGGCGTTAGAAAGACGATCGTCAACATACGACGAGCCAAAACAGCGCCTTGTCACTGGCTTCACTGATAACTTAGATCAACTGAGTGTAGTCAAGGAAGTAAGATAGATTGGTTCGCGAGTCTCAATGCATGAAAGGAAGGATTCAGCTGAACAATTCACCTGTGTGTATTAAACTTGCATGACTGTTATAGAGTGGTTAAACAGGAAAACTCAGTGAAACATAACCTACTAGATGTGGTGTTGTATTTCAATGCAATTGTTTGTCCTTTACAAACAACGGTTGATGTAAGAACTGTTTTAATCAGTTATCTAATTTCCTCGGCAATAGTTCCGGTTACCGAGGGTTCTTCTAGTAATATCATTTGAGTGAGTGAGTTTAGTTATTATAAAAGAAAACAGAATCCCTCAAAATGAAAGGGCTTTGGTATGTGAGTGAGTAAGTTTAGTTTTACGCCGCACTCAGCACCCAACTAAGAGGCGGCGATCTGTAAATAATCGAGTCTGGACCATACAATCCAGTGATCAACAGCATGAGCATATGTCTACGCAATTGGGATACGATGACATGTGTCAACCAAGTCAGCGAGCCTGACCACCCGATCCCGTTAGTCGCCTCTTACGACAAGCATGGGTTACTGAAGATTAATTCTACCCCGAACCTTCATGTGTCTAATATCATTTGAATTCAAGCAAGTGAATACCCGTGGAAATCCGAGGTCTTCAGTAACCCATGCTTGTCGACTAACGGGATCGAGTGGTGAGAGTCGCTGACTTGGTTGACACATGTCATCGAATCTCAGTTGCGTAGATTGATACTCATGATGTCAGTTACAGACCGTCGCTGTTTAGCAGGGTACCGTTGCACAAATCTATCTTAGGGCTAAGGTTGCCGTAACTCCTATACCGTAGCATAGACTTACGGCTGTTGCAGCGCTAAGGCTGTTTTCAAAAGCAGCAGCCTGGAATATTGCTGATTTCGGCATGAGACAACAGTCAAATCAAATTACAGTCTGTTTGGGTCAAAATGATACCGATGAATCACAATCTAACTCCAAATCGGTTCATGATCAAACATTTATTTCAATGCAGAATGTAATGAAAACATCAGACCAACTCTGGAAAAAGAGTTCATAACGTGCATACAGTGTATTCTGTACAAGATGTTGAGATACAAGTCTAAAATGAACAACATGTTAAACTAAATAAATCAGTTACTTAACAAACTGTTAATATCATTTTGTTTTGATTTTCCGAGTGAAGTTTTACGAGGGTAACGTAACAGTAGTACTGTTGCAGGAAAAGCCTCAAGGGCGGGAAGCACGTGCAATTGTGACGTCACATCAAACATAGCCAATTAATTTATTGGTACATGAGACAATGAAATTCACCTTAGACATCAAATCCATTATTTTCAACGTTTATGACCTTGTTAAAGTCGAAAATGAAAGGGGTCGCCTTAAATATGCGCTGTGTAAATCTATTAAACGCACTGCATGTGCAGTTGTGTTGTCTGAAAGACAACTGAAAAATTTATTTAGACAACGTGCAACCGTGTCAGGCACAACTGAGGGGGTCGTATCAAAATCTCCACATTTGAAAGTTGACAATCTTGACCGTTTTCAGAAAGAGTTATATATTTCCCCTTTCAAGAATTTAGACTCACTAGTGCAAATAGAGCCACTTACTTCAGGCAATTGTTCTAAACTAAATTTTGCACAGCATTTCATACTATTTGGTATTGTTTACACATGAACTGATGTATTGTAAAACAAATTCGTAACATTGAAAAGATTATTGTCATGAGATCAATAAATGATAAACGTCAGTGAAAATTGGTAATTATGGATTGCAGTTGGTTCTCCCAAGTTAGTGGAGAAATCATCAATCTTCGATGTAACCATATATATACACATAACATATAGTGAATGTTTTCGGGGAGTCTAAACTTTTGAAAGGAAGAAAAGTAAGAAATGCTATTAGAAGACTGTAAGCAAAAATATATTCCTTTCCATACGCATTTTGCGAAAGCATATGGACACATAACATTCGTTGACTATATCCAAATATCAGTTATGGACATTTTTGCATAAATTTGGGTTTCGTTACAAAAAGGTAAGTGAGGAAATCAGGCGGGTTCTATGTGAAAGAGGTAACAGTTCCTACACCAGTACTACTGTTACTTCCCACGGAAAATCGAAAGAAAATGATGATAGTTTGTTAAGTAACTCATTTTATTTTGGAGACAAACGTTATGAAACTTTTTTCCACAGTTGGTCTGATGTTTTCATTACATTCTGCATTGAAATGAATGTTTGATTATGAACCGATTTGCAGTTAGATTGTGATTCATCGGTATCATTTTGACCCAAACAGACTAAAGGGAAGTTAATGGGATTTTATGTCGCTTCTAGCAATGGTCGAAGCCGTGTCTCGCCAGAGGAGACCAGGCACAGGCTTGACTCATGTAACCGCTTTAACCACTAAGCAAACCCAACGGAAAGTAGAATGCATTGCACAGAATTTGAGTATTGTGAACATTTTGTAAGTATTTGGTAAGTTTACTTCGTTTTGTTTGTTGTGTGACGCGCTTCTGGGCAATGTAACGTGTGTGGCTGATTGTGCATGTCCGGACCTCCGTCGACTCGTTCGTTCGTTCGTTCGTGAGTATGGTTTTACGCCGCTTTTAGCAATATTCCAGCAATATCACGGCGGGAGACACCAGAAATGGGCTTCGAACATTGTACCCATGTTGGGAATCGAACCCGGGTCTTCGGCGTGACGAGCGAACGCTTTAACCACTAGGCTATCCCACCGCCCCCTGTCGACTTTTGAACAAGCTGACACACCGACATACCTTGGTGCAGAGACCCGTAAAGATCCGGGTTAAAGTTGCCTTCAGCAACCCATGTCTGACGGATGAGGTGGTCAGGCTCGCTGATTTGGTTGATGCATGTCACAGTACCCCTACTACGAATAGCGATGCTCATAATGTCAATCCCTAGATAGTCCATATTCCATAGTCCATATTCCATTGATTACCGATTGCCGTCATAACTAGGACATTGCAGAGTGACATGTTAAATAAAAAACAAACACGGCCCTAATGTTTGTCAACATCTGTTGATTGTGTATGCCTTTGCGTTGCAAAGTTAACTGACCGAGAAGCCTTCATAAAATCACGCTAGAGTTCCTCAATTCTCAATACCACATCAAAAACTGGGCTGTACGATGCCTTGTTCCTTGTTTCACCTGTTGAAATAGATTCACCTCTGAGTTTAGGTTTACGCCGCTTCTAGCAATATTCCAGCAATATCACGGCGGGGGACACCAGAAATGGGCTTCACACATTGTGCCCATATGGGGAATCGAACCCGGGTCTTCGTCGTGATGAGCGAACGCATTAACCACAAGGCTACCCAACCGCCCCTTCACCTCAGGTGTAGGGAGCGGTAGGTAGTCCAGTGGATAAGTCATTCGATCACCAAAGGCCGGATGATTCGTCGCATAGGCGTTTTTTGTGAAACCTTTTCGTTGACATCCCCGCGTGATGTTGCTGGAATATCGCGAAAAGCAGCATAAGAGAGTTTATCATAACTGTGAGTGGGTCGACCAACCCGACTCGGTTTGAATATATCTGAGATGAAAGGGAACAAAATGGATAATATGTATGTCATGAAAATGTCTGTTCACGAAAAAAGAGAGATTAGTTGAATGCAAAACTCGGTATAATCTGTTACTGAAGACCCGTGAAGATCCGGGTTAGAATTGGTCTTCAGTAACCCATGCTTGTCGTAAGAGCCGACTAACGGGATCGGGTGGTCAGGCTTGCTGACTTGGTTGACACATGTCATCGTATCCCAATTACGTAGATCGATGCTCATGATGTTGATCACTAGATTGTCTGGTCTAGACTAGATTATTTACAGACCACATAGCTGGAATATTGCTGAGTGCGGCGTAAAACTAAACCCACTCCCTCACTCCGTTACTGAAACAGGACAGTTGGCAGTCGCGCTGACTCTACCAGCCATTCGTGTGGACATGGGGTCAGTTGTAGAGATGATCCTTCGTTTGTCACTGATTGGGATTGCATTGCGGTTCAAGCACTCGATCGTCACGCCTAAAATCCGGGTTCGATTCCCTACATGAGTACAAGGTGTGAATCCCATTTCGGTGTCACCAGCCATGATATTGCTGGAATATTGCTGAAAGGGGCCCAAAACAATACACACTCACTCCTTTGCCTTAATTAAACGGAGAAACGAGTTGAAGAAGGTATACTCCGTAGTTGATGTAAATTTCAATACATGTAAACTGACGTACAAAAGAAAGTACACACATGATGCTTTGGTAAAATGTTTTCCTAAAAACAGCGTAATATTTAGAAAAGTGTTTTGATTGTGACTGACAAGTCACAAACATGTGTACGTGTTACAATAACACCATAGATATCGTACCCAATTGGAACAGTGCTAGCAAAATATTTACGTTTTTAAATAGCCCCAAAACACCAGGTGTGTACTTTCTTTTGTACATCAGTATAGTTCCCAAGACTGCTCGTAATGCTACCTATATTGTATCACAGGTGGGTCCTCTACCGTTAACCATTACAACCTTCGTCCACACGTGGAACAAATGTTCATCAACAGCCTGCAGCTAAGAAATAGAATCAAATGTTTAAGATAATAATGGATGCTGTCGAAGCATTCCCTAATCATGGCCTAAAAGAGAAAATTAACTCAAAGTGCATTATTTCAGTGCGTGATGTTGTCATTGGGAGGATGTAAAAACTGTAAAGGAGGACACAGAGTAAAACGAAAACAAATTATTTCCAGTCTGTGTGTCATTCAATGTATGCTTGCCAAACATGCAAAGAAAAAAGGTATTCCTACTAAGACATCAGAGAACATAACAAATATAAGCACCACGGCAGTTACTGTTTGATTAGTGGTATTAGTGACATATAAGAAAATGCCACATACAAGACCAGCTCTAGTGGTATATGAGAAAATGCCACATACAGGACCAGTTCATTAACT